TCCTACAAACGAAACACTGGACTCTCGAAGAAGGAGCAGATGATCATCGCGTGGCCCGACGTCAAGACGGAGCCCCTGAACCGCACGACAGACACGGCGCTGGTGTTGATCTGCGACGGCGTCTGGAACTCCGTGTCCGCCGAAATGCTCATCCAATAAGTGGCGCGCCGTATGGCACGAGTGCGGCCGCTGTCCAAAGTTTGTGAGGAAGTGTTCGCGCAGATACTGCCCAAAGAGATGCCGGCGCACGGCATCATCGGTAAGGATAGCATGACATTCGTGATCGTCAAGTTCGAGGACTCCGGTGCCGCCGCCGCCACCACCGCCGGCGTCAAGAGGATTAAAAGTAACAGCTCTGCGGCCGCCCAGCCTGTCGGCCCTCCCGGCCCCACAGCACCGGCCACTGCGGCGCCCAAGAGGACGAACAGCAAAGAATCACTTTCCCAGCAAAAGCCGAACGCGAGTCCAAAGAATAGCTAAAATCTCTGTCCGTTTTGTGTGTTTCCCCGTCGTTATAGAGTCCACAGAAACACTGATAATAAATATTAGAAATAAATAATCTGTAAATAAAATGATCAATTCATTTAGTCATTAATATTTGCTATTTTATAATAAATTACTTTTTCTTTTGTGGTTAAAGTCTTAGATATTTATTGTTTTCATTGATATTAAGTGTAAATTGTCATCAAATATTTTGTTGACAACCTTTGCCATCAATTCTCGGACTAAGAATGAGTTCCCACAACAAGAAGAATACCTCGATTCCTATCATCGGTTTCATAGTCCATAGACTGAAACTGTTGGGCAAAACAAAGCTCTTCACGAAGGATCAGATGTCGGAGAAAAAGGCCTAAAGTGGAGCCCAATCTGTCGAAAGAGGTGAAGGATATGGTGACTAAGATGTTAGAGCCGGACACCAGTGTCCGCGTCACCACCGACGCCCTCGTCAGACACAAGTGGTGACCACCAAACGGACAGACGTTCAATGAGTGATAGCATAACACTCGCCAACCAAACAAATAGTTGTCTAAAACTTTATTTCATTCTCATTTTATTATAAAATTAAATGTTAATTGAATTGTGAATAGAGTTTCATGTATTGATTGAATGCTAATTAAATAATTAAATCGTGAAATAAACTCTTTTACCGGTTTTACTTAACCATTAATTTTACTGAATTAGTTGCATGAATAATTAATATAACGTTACTTTTGAAAAACCTTTTAATACAATGCGTTTCGATAGATTAAACCCAAGAACTAAATATAAATCCAATTAAATTACAAGTCCTATTAATTAATTGAATTATTTTATTTAACACATTTAATCAATCATAACATACAGTAATTAATTTCAAAAATTAGTTTTAAAAATAATTCATCATAGTTATTTAATATTTTATCAGCAATTATATATATATATATATCTATATAAATTACAAATTAAACAGGGTTCACCACTGGGTACGATGCCACGGTAGCTACACCGCATTGATTCTTATGATTCCTGGCCATTTTAATATAGCCCTGCTCACCCCACTGGGTGCCCATGGAGTTTTTGACCAGCCAGTAGTCCTTACCAGACTGCTCATCAGTACCATAGCCCACAATTAACATACAGTGGTTGACCCATTCAAATTGGGTGCCACACGTGGGTACGTCAAACACACCACTCTTATATCCAGTAAATTGACCAGGGGTAATCACGCACATGGATAATGGTCCGATGGTAGCCACGGCCTCCTTGAGGGCCACCTCATCGCCAGGCATTACTACTCCGAAGGCGTGGGCTCTGGCTCCGATGTTTTTGGTGGTGAACATACACTTAGGGTTGTCCTTATTGATGGTGGGGTACGAGGCCTCTGTGTCTACGCCCTGGTTGTAATGATATTGGGATCAAAGGGTGATTAAATTATTTTCATACACGTGTTTCGATATTTTAAAGTTTGATCTGATTTATCGGTAATACAACTTGAGTTTAGGCTAAATAATATATAATTTATTATGTGAACATTACTTATCAAGAATAAGTAATTTTAACTATACTCGATAATATTAAATTGATATTATAAAACTGTTCATTGTACTGTAAACAATATTGTTAATCTTTAAAAAATTATTAAATCTAATCACTAATTTTGACTTGTAACCAATTTTTAAAAACACATTGCAACTAATTTTAATTGATGATGCAAACTTGTATTCTAAGAAATACGAGGGGAATGGGATATCACTCACCTGTGCTTCTCTAATAATATATTGATACGCGAGGTAAGGCCAGCCCCCACTTGAACAGCCTGTGATACCCTCGTCTTTCATACAATCGACCAGATTCTGGATGGATAGCTCCACCAACTTTCCCTCCACTTTAGCGTGTTGTCCCTCTAGGGCACCTATAGCCGAGAAGGCCCAACACGATGCGCAAGACTGTTGATCCTTCACTTTGGTCACCACACCTTTTGTACGCCAGTCCACGGAGTCGGGCACTGGAGCGCCAGTAGTTTTAAATGTGGTGACGGCCTCATTCATCATGTTTTTACCGGGGTTTGGGTTAAACCCGTTGACAATATTTGCAAACTCTTTGTCAGTCTATGGGTTGTTAAATATTGTACAGAATTTAATCACAAAATATTCTGTATTTTTTGAATGTCTTTGAAATAAATCATTTATAAAGCCTTTAGAAATAATTATTTTTTATACCATATCTGTGTACTGATTGACTCCCATATCATAGGACTCCAGTCCCTCGGCGTACCTCTGGTTGTGTGCATCGATGGCTTGTTTTTGTTCGTTATATCGCTTATAGTGTATGAGCTCGTCGTCCGCGTCTTTGTATGCCTTTCCATATTTGGCCTAAAAATAATTAAAAACATGATATCAAGCGATGATTTCCATAATCGAGTAAAAATAGATAATTTATTTTAGTTTTGAAATTCATTTTTTGAGTTTTACATGTATTTTATGAAATGATTGATTACCTTATATTGAGACCATTCCTGTGTCTCAAACACAGAGTATGCATTAGTTATAGCAACAAGTAAACTACAAATTAGTATGAACTTCATA